CCAGGATTAGTATATTTAATCATGTCTGCATAATCACACAATCTTGAAAAATTCCATCTTCCAATCACCTAAGAACTCCTTGACAATCCTCTTTTTTGCCCTATGACAAACAGTTCTTCCAACATATAACCCAAATTTTTTTCTCACTAATTCCTGAATTTCCCATAATCTTATATATGGTTGACAGGTTATTTCATCCTTGAACTTTTCTGCAACAAACTTAGATGTACACAACTTGTTCTTGGTCGATTGAGGACATACATGCATAGGATAATAATTTTTGACAACAAAATCACCAGAATCTTTATCTATACTAGCAAACAGCAACCATTTACATTTCTTGTCCTCACATTTAACTCTAACTGTTTTTTTGTCATTAGGCTTCAATTTTAACCTAGTTTTATATTGACAAGAATAGTCTGCAACAGCTTTTCTAAATTGTTCAGGACTTTCAAACACCATACCAAGCTCAAAAATTGCTACAACACAATCAGGATCAAATCTTACCTTTTTACTTTTTCTTCTTCTTGGTAAATCAACACCCTTCACAAATTCTGAATCCAATTCATCCCTACTGTCTTCACTGTCCAATTCTGAGCTATCTATATATTGCTCATCACCCCCTAGTCTTCCAGTGTATCTACCAGCCTTATTCCTTCCTATGTCTTCAAAGCCTCTATCAACACCAGCTGTTCCAAGCTTTATTTCCTTAGTTTGAGTAGGTTTTTTTCTTTTTCACTTTGTTTCTCCTTTCATTTCTAAGAGATCTTAATTCTTCATCAACCTCAGAGTCATCCACATCAGGAATAGCATCCTCTTGAGAGTCATCACTATTTTCTTCATTTGATCAGTCCATTCCACATCTAGATAGTCATCACTACTTTCTTCATTTGATTCAGTCCATTCCACATCTAGATCTGATATATCTCCTGGCTCAACTTCCACATTAACATTTTCAGATTCAGCCTCATGATTCAACCCTTCACTTGCAGTCACATTTATATCTTCTTCAACGACAGACCCACAAAGCAAACCTGTTGTGACCACTTCTACATCATCCACCACATGCTTTACATAAATATCTAAAAAGTCACCATCTTTTAGGTCTTTGATGAGATTTACTAATGTTATATCAGTGTCCACCTCAATAAAGCCATTTTTTGTGGGGTCTTTAACACAGAACCCACCAACAGTAATATACCCCAATTGTTTAGTATAAAAAAGTAACTCGATTATTGAGAAGTGGTCCTTGTCGATATTAACATATTCCACCTCGGCTTCCCCTTTATAAGTAATTCCAGTTTTGTCCTGAATAAACTTACCACCATGATGAAAACGAGTTATAATAATGGCGTCCATAAGATTCCCTGAAACAAGGCTCCAAATTTTTCTGACAGTTATGAACAATAAAAACCAAAAAACCCTAACTTTATCTAGATATTAACAACAACAACCACATTGATACTAAAACCCAGTATATATCAATAAAAAACACAGGATAAACACATATATTAAAAACACACAACCACAACAATATGCTCGTCACTTACCTCACACTCGTCAACTCGAAAATCGCGAATGAACTCCAAAATCGTCTTCAATCTTCGATGATTCCTTCAACAAAACACTCGAAATCACTTTAAAATGTAAGAATTTCAGCTGTAAAAGTCATTGAAAAGGAGAGATTCTTAGGGTTTTCTCGTTTAGAAACGGGTTAAAAGTGATTTGGGGGAAAATTGATTTTTAGGTTTGGTGACATAATATGTGGCACTGACGTGTAATTTGGTTGGAGTGTATTGGTCAAAATTTCCACGCGGGGAAGGTTCATCTCACGTGCCTAATTACCAAAAATAATTTATTGAAATTTGGCTCCACATCAGCCAAAAATATTTAAAAGGATCAAATTATAGGGGTTAAAGGATTTAATAGGAATCTTGGTTAGTTGAGGTACCTGGGGGAAAAGCGCGAACAAATTTAGGGACCTGCGTATGTATTTGGCCTTTTTTTTTGTATTAGCTAAGTTATACTCGTGATCCTTTCTTCAAAATTTTAATGTTTTGCGTAGAAATGAAAGTTTTGGCTATCAATGACATGAGCTTGAAAATTATAGGTCTTGCTAGAGAGTAATTAATGGATGTGTTTTAAATTTAAAAGAGAAATGAAGAACTACGTATATCATTGCGATCTATAACATGATGATGTGGCATAATTTTTTAACTCCTGATATTATATTTTCCCTTTTATCTATAAAAATGAGAAATTCATAATTTTAATTTCAATTAATTGATTCACATTTGTTACTAACTTTTTATTCCATTCTTTATTTTATCATTTAGTATATATATTAATTTTGAGAAATAATATAGAACAAGAGAACAATATAAAATACCAACTTTATTCTTTCTTCCAAATGTGCATAACATCATTCTTTTAGTACCTTTACTATATGATTACATTGAGAAATATCAAAAGATAAACATGACATAAATCGTTGAGAAGATAGGAAAGATTATAAGGTTGTTAATGATCAATGAGGAGGTGTTGGAGGTTTGCGTATTACTATTTATAAAAAAGAAAATTATACGTAGGTTAGTTAGCAAAAAAAAAAATTATATGAGCTAGCTTTGAGTTTTTGAGTGAAGATTGATCGAGGGGACTTTCATCATGTACCTGACATTTAAGTACAAATAAAAGGGTTATATTTCATTAATATTAATAAAAAGTTAAGTGTTTTACTTAAATACTATTTTTTGTATATGAATTTTGTGCTACAATAATGTTTTTTTTTTTCAGATTACGTAATATCATCTAAATTAAATACTAACAAAAAAACAAATTTGTCCTCTGGATCCATGAAATAGAGAGGTATGGGCCATGGGTCATGGGCCTTGGTCCAATAAAGATGAATTTGGGCTTGGAGTATCGTTAGGGTTTTAGGTTTTTGAAGCCTACAATATAATATCGCAAGCTTCTCACCATCTGCATTCCCTCCACACTGCTATCGCATCGTCTCTTCGCTCTCTCTGTAAGTTATTCTTCACTGAATTTATATGCTGTATTTTGCATCTGCATATTAATTTTTTGTTTTGTATATCTGTATTTGTACACATCCGAAAAGATGGATTCAAGGGCTATATGTTATGCAGACATTTCAATGTGGATGTGATTTTCTAGGGTTTATCTGTTGAATCTTGTTGATTTTGAATTTTGTAGAGGTTTCAAGTGTTAATATTTGGATTGTGAACTTAATATATGTACATATTTGATAAATTTCTTAATACAAAGTTGTTGGATTTAACTGAACTCGTATTCGGGCTTCTAGCTACGCCTGTGGAATTAAAACTGCTTCACTTAGGTTTAGATCCCAGTAGAGATAGAAAAACTCTATGTGATAACCTCTGTCATGTATGTGCTGTTATAAGTTAGTAGTATGTACTTGGTGGATTAATTAATTAATTAAGGCTTACCAGTAGGCAAGTCTCACTTATGAAATGAAGGTTTAAATTCAAATTGAACAGGTAAAAACAATTTTAGTACTCATTTGGCATTACTCATCGTCCTGTATTCGGTTGGGATTTATTTTATATAATGATCCTACATGACTAGTCCATGCATCTTAAGCAGCTCTTATTTGGTTTAATAAACTACTTGGAATGATCTTGAATGGAGGAGTCCTATTGGTGCTCAGACAACTCTAATCTTTTTAACTACATGATGCATATTATCAAGATTGGTTGTTTTTCAACCTTTTTTGATGCTTGTGTGTTTACAGTTTTTGACTGTATTTTTGATGGTTTATGTCAGGTTTGGCTTGTATCTGGTAATTAGATTCAAGAAGAGAAAATGTCTGGGTAAGTAGTTATAGTATTACTTCTATGTATTTTAACAGCATTAGCTGATGTTTACTGTCATGAAAATAACTTCTTTTACCTGGAATTTATATGTTACTATGATCCATATGAGGTGAATGTTTTTTGAAAAATTACATAATTGTAATTTCATATTGGTTGGCATCAGCTCTCCGATAATAGGGATGTTGTGTTCTTCGTTGGTTTCTTTTGCTTTGGATGCGATGGGTTGCATACTTTTCAGTTGATTTAGATTCATATGGCACTACCCCTACCCCTACTGATCTTGTCTTGTTTTCAAAATTTTGATTGTCTCTTTTTAAACATCCTTGCTTGATGACATTTCTCTTGTAGTTTTATTTATTCCTTGATTTATTGTAATGCAGTGAAGAGCCTGTTGCTGCTGAGACTCCAGCTCCCGCCCCCGCTCTTGGGGAGCCCATGGATATCATGACAGCATTGCAACTTGTCCTCAGGAAATCACGGGCTCATGGTGGTTTAGCTAAAGGTCTTCATGAGGCTGCTAAGGTTATTGAGAAGCATGCTGCCCAACTTTGCGTTTTGGCAGAGGACTGTGACCAACCAGACTATGTGAAATTGGTCAAAGGTCTATGCGGTGATCACAATGTTAGCCTGATCACTGTTCCTAATGCCAAGACACTTGGTGAATGGGCTGGTGTAAGTAACAAACTATTGATTCTGATGAAAGTTTTAAAAGAACAGTTATTTGCATCTCTTATTTCTGCAGTTTATAAATAGTTAAGTCTGTTTGTTCGTGTTTTTGAAGTTATATTTTGAACTAATTTTCTCTCTATATATTTGCAGCTGTGCAAGATTGACTCTGAAGGCAAAGCTAGGAAAGTTGTCGGATGCGGTTGTGTTGTAGTAAAGGTAAAGAATGAGATGAACCTAATATTCTTTAGTATGAATTTAGGTCCTTTTAAAAAAGTAATTCTTGTGAGTGAATTTGTTGATCTATAGCTATTTTTTTCTTTTTGCTTTTCAGGATTTTGGAGAGGAAACTGAAGGGCTCCACATTGTTCAGGAATATGTGAAGTCTCACTAAGTGAAATGTTGAATTAGAGAGGTTTAGCTTGTTTTTGGTTGTGACATGAAAATTCTTGATTGTTATAAAACCAGATTTTGATAAATTTCAATTTGTAGTCATTTGTGATTCTGGTTATGCACGGCTTCTTGAACTTTATAGGTCTTTTGGATCCCTATGAATGAACCAATTCGATTATAATCTGTTCTGGTAACATTTTGCAAGAATGATATCAGGAATCTGAGGTGAAATTTGATTTGATCATGTTGATTACATGGCGTTATTACATTTGTCGTAGTTTAACTCATATATCTCATGTTCAGAATTAGTACAAAGATGAGGTAAAACTGCTGTATGATAGAATCTTATGGTAACTTTGAATTTTGTGTTTCATTAGAGACGTATTAGTTGTGATGTTAGAGTTCTTATCACTTTTGATCAGTACATAGTAGACATCGGTGATAGAGTAGGGTGCGTTTCAATAAGCATTTGATGATAGCTTAAGTATGGAAGAAAATTATTGGATAGAGTTTCCACAATTAATGAGTTTGAGTTTAACCTTTTCTGCTACTAAAGTATGCTTAATTAAATTTAAGAAAATCATACCATATAACATTATTGCATGTCTTGGTATTGTCAATCAATATGAAACCTAATTAACATAAAGCTACATCTCATAAGTAACTGTTTCTTCCCTAAAAAAAAACTTTACATGTTTCGTTCAGAAGAATTTTGAATATGTATGACTAAACAACATACAAAATAGTCACTATAGAAGTTCGATAAGTGAGTTCAATTGTATCTCTTTCATTGAAAAATTATACTAGAAGAGCAAAACTTTCTGTATAGGCCAGACTTAACGATCATTAACAGCTCCATAGCGGCAATGAATTTCTTCACCTTGAAGAATCATGTCAACACACCCTGCAGGAAGACCAACCATTTCCATAGTCTTATCCCATATTTCAAAAGAGGTTCTCTCATTATCTACTTGTTTGCTAGGTTCACTAATTCTACAATGGCAACCAATGAAGGCACAACCAATACACCCTTCTGCTTTCAACACACCACAATAATCCAAGATCTCAGCATCAGTAGCTGCAAAAAGTGCACTTCTTGAACCCTGTTGAGCATCGAACATGAAAAAGAACATTTTCTGATAAAGAATGTTCAGAATTCTTGGAAGATCTCGCGTAACATTTGTACGTACAGCTCCTGGCTCTACACACATTACATGAATATTAGTATTAATTAGGAGTTTTTGAAGTATACTGCTAAACTTCATTTGTGCCAATTTGCTACTCGAGTATGCCTTTCTACTTGTGAACTTATTCTTCTTGGTTAAGAAATTCATATCTTGAGGATCCACAACGCCAATTACATGCATAAGGGAATTCATATTGATAATCCTGCTTGGAGAGCCTCTTTTCAAAGAAGGCAAAAGCAGAAGAGATAGTAATGCAGGTGCAAGATGGTTCACTTGTATATGTGTTTCATATCCGTCTTTGGTAAATTTTTGTGGTTGTCCTATAGAATAGATTCCAGCATTATTGATGAGAATATGAAGAGGTTTTGATCTCGAATTCCATTCTTTTGCAAATTTTACAACTGACTCGAGATAAAAGAGATCAAGTTCTATAACATCGATGCTTAAGGGCCTCGATACAGTTTCATTTCTTTGCCATTTTTCAATGAGTTGATGAGCAAGATTTGTGTTTCTTACAGCCATAACAAGATGTGCACCTGACTCAGCCAATTGTTTAGCAATTTCAAGTCCAATGCCACTAGTGGCTCCTGTGACAATGCAATTTAGGCCATTGAGAGGAGGTAAAGGCAAAGGTTCTTGTAAATGTTTAGCATGAATTTTCTGAAACAGTGTCTCATATGTTAAACGAAGCCATCCTTGTAACCATTCTTTCCATTCCAATCCTTTCGACGATGAATTCATCGTATTTTAATATTATTTTTTCATCAATCTTTTATAATCAAGAAAATTTTGTTGGAGAAATGAAACAAATGACTTTGTATGAACCAACAAGAAATTTGAATATGATTTTGAGATTGAGAAATAGACCAATACTAAAATTGCAAAATTTGTTAATTGTTGATTAATTGTTCAAATAATGATCGATAGAGAGAACCAATGGATTGACGTAGATTCCGGAACAGATTCTTTTTTACTTAATGCGTTAAAGCCAACAAAATCACATATATATTATCCTTTTAAAATAAATTGTCCTTTTCTTTTGGTTAGAGGTTTTAAATAAATTGTTAAAATATATAATACCTAAATATCACTCTAGATTTGGCATAAGTTAACAATTGCACATGTCAACTACATGTTGTCTTTGTTAACCTTGTACTATCGGATGGTTTTAATAATTCTTATTCTTGGGAAAAATATTCTTCAGTTTTCAAATTGATTTTGTTATGAATGTGCACTAGTCTTTATATTTTGAGACTACTGAGAGGAGCTTAGGATCGTGCTGTTTGCCGATCAAAAGCTATCATCCCTTTTTAATTTAAATTAAAAAAAATGGTCACTACATAACTTTAAATTTTCATTTTGCTTTACTTCAGCCGATAAATTTGGGCCCCTTCTTTCTCCCTATTCCGCTTCTTTCAATATGCTTTAATTCCCATTTTTTATTTATTTGTGTCTCACAACTTATTCTTTAGTTTTTAGCAAATTAAAATTTTAAAATTAATTACTCCATTTATTATATCTCAACTACAAAATATATTAGAGGCACAATCTTTTCTAAAAAAAATGTAGTTAACTTTTGAAACTTTTTCAGTATAAATGGAATAACATATAAGATTAAAAGTTTATTATTCTGTCCGTTTTAATCTATTTATCTTACTTTTCTTTTTAATTTTTTAAAAAAAGATTGATAACTCTTTAATATTATTTTTCAATTTGAAATCTAATTACTCCATTTATTATATTTTAACTACAAAATATATTAGAGTAACACCTTTTAAAAAAAAATTATAGTTAGTTTTTGAAATTTTATCAGTTTCACATGAATTTAAATAAATGGAATAACATCTAATGTTAAAAGTCATAAAAAAAAACTATAAATCACATAATTAACAACTGAAAATGTTTTCAAATCATATGAAAAAATTGATTCACTCTCTTATTCCATATGTATCATTTATATTGAAATAAAAGAAGTAACATCTATTAGTTGAAGATGACATCAAAAATTTTAAAATTCACAATAAATTAATAATTGAAAATATTTATTATTCATGTAAGTTGAAATAAGAGTAGCATATATATTTAAAAATAACACAAAAAGTATTATAAATCCCAACAAACTAATGACATCAAATAACTTTAAAAAATTAGTTGATTCTTCAAACTTAATTTGCACATAAATTAAGATTAAAAAATTATGTATGTTGGGTCCATCCTGCACGGATACATAATATCTAGTATATTTAATAGAAATAATTATTTCATGTAAAAGAAGATGAGAAAAAAAAACACATTTTTTTATTAGTAAAAAATATTATTGCAACTAAATTAAGAACACTTTAATATATGATGTAGCAAAAAAATTTATACTATTAAACATGAAAACGATGTGATGAACTTTAATTATAATTTTAATAATATATCTATTAAGCAAAACAAAGTTTTCCTCTTTTACCTTCTCTTACATTCAGTTGCCATTTCTAATAATGTAATAATTATAAATAAAATTGATATTAGAAAATAGATAAAATTTAAAAAATAAATGCATCAATATTATAAATACGAGAGATTATAAACTTTTTTTCCACGTAAAAACTCAAGAATGAATTTAAGTCTTCCATTAAAAAATAAGGGACTATTTTCGGTCATTTCTCGTGTTTGCTTCATGGAGATCCAATAAAAATGACATACACGTGGCTAGCATGTGGATTTTTCTGTCCACTTGATACTTTTATAACTAAAATTAGATCGTCAATCAAATATTTATTATGTATTATTTATTTTTAAATTATGTTTTAATAATAGTAATAATTAATAATATGATTTATAATATATTTTATATAATTTTTAAATAATATATATAATTTTTTTATTTTAATTTATGCGATACTGATAGAATCTCGAAAACTAATAAATATTTTATATGTATATTTTATTTTTAAGTATAATAACAGTTCTAAACCATTGATACAATAAAAATGTTATGATGAATGATGATATAAGCTAAGGAGCACGTTGATCCATGTGAGCAAACTTTTATACGAAAGCTACAATAAAATATTTGTTTCATAAAAAATGATCTAATTGACTAGATAAGGAATTTAAGAATGTAAAGAAGACTTTTGAATTCTTTGATTTTAAATTAAAATTAAGTCAAATATATAAAATTATTCTTTAATCTTATAACTTTAAATATATCACGTAAAAAGCTGAAATTAAACGTCGTCATTCCTTTTTAAAGGAAGAACGTACTATTTTGGCCAATAATATTATGTGGCTATTGGAAAGTTTACAAAAATACCTTGAGGGGCCCATAGTATAAAAGATAGGACATACGTGGCATTAAGTAAAAGTTTTTGATAGTTTTGTCAACAAAAGAGTGAAACTCAATTGTTCAATCAAGTGAATGCACAAGAACAATTTAGCTTGAAATGACCATGGTACCTTTAAAATGAAATCTGGATTTTCAGTAGCAAAATACAAAATTCAATTTTCTAAGAATAGGATATTCTTTTTAATGACTCTAAGCTAACATGTTGATCTAGTATGTGCTTACTCCCTCTTATAAGATAGTAGAATAGAAGGAAAAAGAAAAAGAAAGAAAGTAGAATATACTTTCTTTTTAGATTCATTAATATGTTAGATAATCTTTTTAGGGTTAAATTTAGATATTTTTTTGCATTACAACTCCATATTATTTAGGGTTAGCTTTTTTCATTTGGTTTAAAAGAAGGGGAAATTTGATGTGGATGATAAAATATATATAAGTTAATTAGCTAATATAACTATAGTTTTTATCAAATATCACTCATAGAGATATAATTACGAGTTAATATTTTAAAAGGTCACTCAACTTTAAAAATATATCTAGCAAAATTATTGAACTTTATTTTATATCAATAAAATCACTCAATTTATACATTTTAATATCAATAAAATCACTTAATTTATGCATTTGTATCAATAAAACCAATCAACTAAGTTTGACAAGATTATAATTTTTCTATACCATAGAAACAAATCTCACTAGTAAATAAAATTAAAGAAAACTCATTAAGAAATTTTAGGAACAAAATTAATTAGTGAAATCGATACTCTTATGGCATTACAATAAAAAAATATACAAAAATATTATATTAAATTTTCTGCTCTACAATTATTATTTCTAGGGGAAAAAAGTTAAGTACGTATAATTTTCCATGAAATTAAAGGATTTCACAAATATTTTCATAAAAAAAGCATTAAACCCGGAGCAAAATAAAAGTTCAATACTTATTTTTTTTTGATATACTCACCAATACAAATGCAATATGAAATTAGCCAGAAACAGAGCAAAATTTATTTTTTTACAAATTCTCACTACTTTTTGAAATCAGAAAAAGAAAAACTCGTAGACAGAAGTGGGAAAATAAATTTGAATTTCGTGTGCTTCGAGTTTTCGTCGTGAATTTGCTTGAGTATTAGTTTAAATTTGTTTATTGTAATATCATAAGAGTATTTGGTTAACTAATTAAGTTTGTTCATAATTTTAACGAGTTATTAAATTTTATTTACTTGTGGGGTTTATAATTACATGTTATAAAAGAAAATTAATGATAAATTTCAAAGTTGAGGGACCTTTTAAGATATTAACTCTATTATAAGTACGTGCACCTCCCTCCTCTTTTCCCTCTCTCTTCTCTCTCCTGTTTTATACATATACAAATATAAACTATATATATACAATTCACCTCTTTCACCACATAAAAAATGATCATTGACAATTAATTTTTAATTGTCAGTAAATATAAATTTTTAGCAGCAGTTATCATTCTTTGTATATGTCCCTAAAGCTTTCAGCGACAGTGGTTCTTGTTAGGATCGAATTCACGCACACACACTTGATGAATAAAGAACACAAGAACTTTCAAGAGAAAGAGATGAGATATCTAGAGAGAGAAAGAGAAAATCCAATATTTCGTGGTAACACCCCGTGAGTAAACTTCCACGGCGGTGGAATATATTTATATTAATAAATCAGATTATTTTTGGTTACAGAGAATAAATGGATAATAAATAGTAAAGTCATCCAAAAAATTAATCAGGCTCCACAACCTAACAATTCTCCCACTTGGAGACTGATTCAATCATTCAAAAAATACATTCTAAAAAAAAATCTCTTCATCATCAATATCTTTACCGCACCGCAACATCTGTAGCAACAACTACAGAAGACCAACCGAGGTTTTGCATAACCCCAGTTTCTCAACATCAACACATTTCGTCAACATGTCTGCCGGGTTCTTTGCACCCTCTATCTTCTCCAAGCACATATCACTATCCTCCACTGCCCTGCGAGTGAAATGGTATCGCCTTCTGATGTGCTTTGTCTTCGAATGATAGACTGGATTTTTAACCAACTGTATGGCACTCTGGCTATCTGAGTAAATAATCTTCTCACTCTGCTTCTTGCCCAATTCCTCCAGATAATTAGCCAGCCATATCATCTCTTTCCCAGCTTCAGCTATTGCCACATATTCAGCTTCAGTAGATGAAGGAGAAACACACTTCTGAAGACTGGATATCCAACTCACTACTGTTCCACATATGGTGTAAATGTACCCGGATGTATTCTTCCTCGAGTCAACATCCCTACCAAGATCAGCATCCACAAAACCCTGTAGAGTCACCTTGCCTTTGCCAAGAAAAAGTGAAGTGCTGGATGTACCTCTCAGATATCTCAGAAGCCACTTTACAGCTTCCCAATGCTCTTTCCCAGGGTTCGCCATGTACCTGCTAACAACTCCCACTGCATGTGCTATATCAGGTCTAGTACAGACCATAGCATACATTAAACTCCCAACTGCTGAAGCATATGGAACAAGTGACATATGATCACGGTCCTCGGC